GCGGAGAACCTAACGGGTAACCGGGGCTCCGACTCGACGTGCAGGAGAAGGAACGGGGTGGTTTTTAGTCAGTAAGAGTCTGACACTCCCTCCCGCCTCACCCAGGCGGGAGGAGTCATTCGATGATTTTCCCCCCTTAAAAAAAAAGCCCGCTAAGCCGTAACCCGTAAGCGGAAGCGTTTTAATGGTTCTGTCTGTTATTTATTAGTGTTTTTGCTTCGTTTATATACATATTTGTTAGGTTCATGTGAGCATACACTATTGTGGGTTTGAATATGTCCCTCGTTTAACCGAACATACTATATAACATACGATGGCGAATTTAATGCCGGGTGGGCGGGTGGCATTCTGTAACAGTCAACCATGGGGTGATGCAGAGATGTGCAACAGTCGGTGTAATAGGTATTATGATTTAATGTATGTGATACAGAATAAATCTATATAAACAAATTCATAATAGGGGTTTTTTTAATGGGGTAACTGCTCGAGCAGTCTGTGTATGGTAGGCCTTATTCGTCTGGTTCTTCAAAGTGATAGGCACTTTTGTAACGTCACATTGAATAGGGTAGATGCCTAATTTTTATTTTAATGTCCGGCTGGTAGATTATTTTAAATCATTAGACACGTATTTTTTATTTTTTTACAAAAACGAATAATTTCGACGATATTTTGATTTGAAATGTCGCGTGACGTCACTTCTATGTACATTTTATACGTAGAAATGACTTTTAGCCCCCACTCCTAAACTTTGATTCGTTTTATCTAAGTATAATTTTATTATACGACAAAATAAAAAAATATGTGTCTAATATTTTTTCATTATCTAACTGACTGACTAATTAAATTTTTAATTTTCATATCCTGTCATCATCCCTATTATGCCTAACTGTAAATACATACATTATATAGGTATAGTATAGTGCCCATTTTCACCGGGTCAATACCGAGAAGGAGAAACCTCCCACATATGATGATCAATATGACTAAATAATAATACTATAATAGTAAATAAAGAAATTGGGGATAAAACTACATCATTATCATCAACAGCCTATAAGTGTCTACTGCTGACCAAAGGCCTCTTCTCACACGAAGAAGGTTTGAGCATTAACCACCACGCTTGCTCAATGCGGGTTGGCGATTTCAAACTTATGATTAGAAATTATAAGCCCAGATTTCCTCACAATGTTTTCCTTCACCGTTTATCAGTGATGTCTATAATCTTAGAAAGTACATATGCTAAATACTTACAAGAGTATATTTTGACGCCATTTTTGAGTAACATTTACTATCAAATCCAGATAGGAATAATATAATGTATGCAATAGCTACAAAAGAAAATTACAGAAACAATAAAATATTCAATTTTGTTTTAGTATTCAACCGTTTCACAATGTAATACGAAAGATAGCCGCGACGATGCCTGCACTGTGTTAGTAACTTTTATTGAGGTCTTTTTTTAACTTTATTTTTAAGGGCGGAAAATCATCGAATGACTCCTCTCGCCTGGGTGAGGCGGGAGGGAGTGTCAGACTCTTACTGACTAAAAACCACCCCGTTCCTTCTCCTGCACGTCGAGTCGGAGCCCCGGTTACCCGTTAGGTTCTCCGCTGAGGTCTAGCTTCTGTCCGCGACTTCGTACGCACAATCCCGTTTTCTCCCATTCCCGTAGGATTCTTAGGATTTTTTATGCCTTAAGAACCTTCTCCTGACAATAACAAACACAACAAAAAAAATATCAGTCAAATCAGTCTAGCCGTTCTCAAGTTATGGCGTGACAACTAGAAACGAGTTTCATTTTTATATATACAAGGTGTTGTTTTAAAGTCGCGTCATTTTCTAGGAGGTAACTCGGCTATCGATTCTTAGTCCGAATCAATAAAAAAAATTGTAACTAGGTAAATATTTTTAATTTTTCTGTCAATTACGGAAATCCTCAAGTGCGAACTACACGCCGCCGTCTTGTAACTAGCTTTATAACGCGGCTTAACACACACAAACTCAAACACGTAATTGATATTATTCCTAATTCCATAAAACTCCAATAAGAAACATTGCTGTCGCTTTTTCTGAAATGCTGTCGAACTTAAACTATTTATTATAGCCGTATTTTTAACTATTGGCCTGAAACTTTCTCTTACATTGAACCAATATGACTTCTGCGACATGCCCCCGAGAAATGCCACGGCTTCAAAACTACACCTTGTATATGATGTGTATGTGTGTGTGTGTGTGTGTGTGTGTGTGTGTATGATGTAAGTATGTTTGTTCCTCTTTTATCCAAAAACTGCTGAACGTATCGTCTTTTTTTCATAAGCCGGTAAACGAGCAGACGGATCACCTGATGGTAAGCAATCGGCGTCGCCCATGGACACCTGGAACACCAGAGGCGTTACAAGTGCGTTACCGGCCTTTTGGGGATTAGGAGTTTGAGGATCGTTGGAGATTCAGGAATTGGAGAGATTGGGGAAGGGGAGGGTAATTGTGCCTTCTGTAACCTCACTCACATGACGAAACACAACGCAAGCGTTGCTTCACGGCGGTTTTCTGTGAGGTTGTGGTATCACTTTTTTTTGTTGACGTTCAAAAGTGATCTAATTGAAATAAATGATATTGACTGCCGAATGGTCGCAAGGGCAACTGCCGGGCAAGGGGTCTCGGGTTTATGACAATAGGCTCATCCCCTATTACATGGGACTCATAACATAAATAGTGAAAAGTGGGTGTTACATTGTAGTGGCATTAATTGTCGAAATGTGCACCTCTGCCTACCCCTTCGGGGATAAAAAGGAGTGATGTTATCTTATGATGGGTGTTACATTGTCCAGTAGCATTAAGTGCCGTAATGTGCACTCCTGCCTATCCCTTCGGGGATAAAAGGCGTGATGTTATGTAATTATTTAATTATGATACCCCTGCGACGCTAGGGGTGGACAGTGAACAAGTTTGTATCGATCCTGACCTGCGCAGTGCACTCAGAACATTCTAGACTTGTAACCCTTGCACTAAATGCGTCGGCTGCAGAAGGTCCACGTCACTCACTTCTTTTCATAGTATAGACCGGCAAACGAGCAGACGGAATACCTGATGGTAAGCAATCGGCGTCACCCATGGACACCTGGAACACTAGCGGAGGTACGATAAGTTATAAGTGCGTTGCCAACGCTTTGGAGATTAGATTATAAAAAAGGGTTTGTTTGGGGATCAGGAATGGAAAGGGTTGAGCCTTCGATATCGTCATTCACACAGCGTATGCCTTGCTTCAAAGCAGGTTTCTGTAAGGGCGTGGTATGACAGCGGTAGGTAGAGCCAACCCAGCAGTGCCGAAGCATGGTTTTCGCATATTCGACTTAGTGTGTGGCATTTATTTCATTACAATTATAATTTGTTACGATTCGGCACGAATGGGCCGGCTCGACCGGAGCGAAACAACGGCTTCACAGAAAACCGACGTGAAACAACGCTTGCATTGTGTTTCGTCGTGCGAGTGAGGTTACCGGAAGCCCAATTACCTTCCCCTTCCCCAATCTCCCCAATCCCTGATTACCGGAAGCCAAATTACTTCCGCACCCCAGTCTCCCCAATCCCCGAATCTCCCACATTCTTCAAATTTCAAATTCCCAAAAGGCCGGTAACGCACTTGTAACGCCTCTGGTGTTCCAAGTGTCTATGGGCGACGCCGATTTCTTACCATCAGGTGATCCGTCTACTCGTTTACGGGCGTATCACAGCTTGCCCGGCTCTCGGCCAACGAGGCAGTCATTAAGTTTATGTGTGTCTAAAATGCGGTTCGCAAGATACAATGTATGTTCATTGGGATTAAGAGGCTTATATTCTTCATATTTTTCAAAATGCAATTGAACCTTCTGATTGATTATTTATTCATTGCCCGAAATACTACTACATAATAACTGCATAATATATCTCACTTCTAAGTATTGATTGTGATTTGTGACCTGCGCAGTGCAGTCGGAGCTTTGGACAGAACATTCTAGACTTTTGCACTCAATGCGACGCCTGCAGAAGGTCCACGTAGTACGGAACGGTACGGTACGGTACTCCTAATGTATGTTTAATAGCCTTTGTCGTAGTAAATCCTTGAATTCAAAGAGTGAGGGAACAGAGAGGGCACCTGTGTTTGCGCACACACTATAATATCTCCTGCGTAGTGGGCTATTCTAGTTAGACTTGTTTAGTCTAGTTAGATCAATTTCACATTTCGATCATGATAGCTGGTGATCAAGACTTTAGCCTTCTCTGTTAATGAATTATCCAACACAAAAATATTTAGTTTCAACCCATGCTAGAGGCTCATATTCATGAGCAGCATTCTGCAACCTGCAACGCGGCGACTGTCGCGCTGCTACCGACTGAAACTAGTCGAGTTTCTCGTCAAATAATTACATGAGCAATTTTTTTTTATTTTAATGGGAAAAGCCCGCCACAATCTCCCAAAACCGCTGCGACTCCTGTAAGCCAGCATCTACAGTAGATATAACTATGAAAACACCGAAACACTGAAGCCCAGCGCGCCCAGGAACATGAATAACTGTCTTGGTTCCCGCAACTATGTGAATCAGAAGATATTATAAGAGGAGTAGAAAAAAAACGATAGTTTCCACTTCCCTCGGTAAAGTACTGCAAGAGGCAGAGTGAATTAAGCCTAAAGGCAAAAAGAAAAGAGACTGTACAACTGGGTGAAGCCCAGTTGCCAATTACAGGAGTAAGCCGAAAAACAATAATTAATTTTGTATGCCTCACTATCTCTATCTCTGAAACTAGGAAATGCTTGTACCTTCGCAGACAGAGTTGTATTTATTCTTCAGCAATATATAATCTTGGGAGGTTAGCCTTCTGCATACAACTTTACATCATCAACCCTATGCATTTGTATAGCAGCCTTCAAAGTATTGATCCTGACCTGCGCAGTGCAGATGGAACATTCTAGAAGTCTAGCTGGAGTACTAGCGGGGCGCGGCTTGCAGTCAGTGCGGCCTGCGACGTGTGGCGTGCAAGACGTGTCGGTCCCTGAGCCTCGCTCGGAGCCGGAGTCCTGCGTGTCCCATCTTCTTTGGCTTTAACATCTTGGTAAGTGGACTAATACCTGCATTGATTACAGTTGCTGGATTATCGAGAACGTCAATGCGTGGCTTCTATTGAGTCTCTTTCTTTTCCTGTCTTAATCCCATTACTTCTTTCTCTTTCAGACTTTCATTAACATAATATATAATAGTACTGATGCTATGTTCCAGGTGGCTGATGCTGCGCAGCGTCTCCTGTCGTCTCTGACGTTGGTGGAGCAGCTCGTGGCCGCAGCAGCACTTCGCCCTCACTGAGGAATGAGGTAATTATACTATGGTATTGTCAGAGCTACCTGTCTTGTTTTTGAGAGAGAAAATTCTCCAATAACTCCCCCCCCCCCTTTAGGATGAGACAAAAGGGAGTGTCAGACTATTACTGATTAAACACTACCTCCTTGCTACTCTAACTTCAAGCCGGAGCGACGGTAACCCCTTAAGTCTTCTAGCTGCCTGTCCAAAGTGATTATCAGGTCTTGACTCGTTTTTTGGGGCAAGCCGGAAACGAACTGTCAGATCACCTGATGGTAAGCAATTGGTGTGACAAATGGACACCTGGAACACCAGAGGTGTTACTAGTACGTTACCGGCCTTTTGGGGAATAGGAATTTGCGGATTGTTGGGGTGATTGGTGATTGAGGAAGGGGGGGTGATTAGGGTGTGGTCGTGGTCGCACTCCAAACATGGCTATTTTTCGGCACTACTGGCCCGTAGAAAGAGAGAGAGCATGTGAGAGAGCCCTCTCACATGTAAAAGACTTGGATTAGACAGTAATGTTACCTGTTGGAGAAATAAGAGTAGTGGAACCTGACATACACTTTGTCCTTTGTCATTGATTATCCTGACAATGCCATTAACTGGCTTGATGGTTGATCACCAGAACCGAATAAGAGACAGCCCAACATACGTGGTTGGAGACTAATTATGTTGTGTTCTTTTGCAGGTGTCCTGCGGACGAGCTGCGTCACCAGTTCGCTGGAGGCATTCGGAGGTGCGGTCCTGGCACCAACCCTCTAACACCAGCGCACTGGCCCTTCAACCTCCTCATCAGAAATGTAGCAATATTGTCTTCTAGAGTATTGTTACATTTCTGGATGGACCCTATTCCAGATAGATGACAATGGATGGCGCGGGTTTAACAACATCGAGTTAAGAGGCTGATGGACCGTGTTTCGCTGAACATGTTCCTACAGATCTCCCCTCGCTCTTCTTGAACTCGCGCCTCATGGCATTCATGGAGCCGGAGTGGAGTAGAGAAGTTCGTCGAAGAAGGGTACTTGAGGTAGTGGTCTTTTTATATCTCTGGTATTCTTCAACGTCCTGTCAGGTCAATCGATCAACTCTCCTCTCCACTCCTTTTAATTAATCGTGGTATACAATGTTAATAACTAAAAACCGACTTATATTTATTATAATTACATTAATGAGGAATACAATTCGTAGGTTCGATCAGATTCACATTTATAAATAGATATGGTCTTAGTATAATAATTAATTATAAGGGAAATTTGTGTTTTATTTATTAAAACCTTTTGTCCTCCTTCCGACTTCATGCTTGAAGTCGTTCATACGGAAACACAGTCATGCACACTCACTTAATTATTCACTCACTCACTCAGTCACTCACTAACACACACATACTGACATACATAGACACTTTCATTCACTTATTCATAGCCACACTCAAGTGTGGGAGAGTCATGCTTCGGTACGAACGGGCCAGCTCGACCGGAGTGATACCCTTCCTTAATCTCTTCAATCACTGAATCCTCAACAATCTTCAAACTCCTAATCCCCAAAAGGCCGGTAATGCTTTGTAATGTAATGCCTCTGGCAGTTGTCCATGGATGACGCCGATTGCTTACCATCAGGTGAACCGCCTGCTCCTTTACCGGCTTATCCAATAAAAAAACACACACACACACATAAAATATACATGCATACTCATAAACACACACTCACTCACTCACTCACTCACTCAGTCACTCACTCACTTACCCTCACACTCACTCACTCACTTTCACAGACTCACGCATACTCTGACTCCCTAACTCCTTTCACCGGTCTTTTAGCGCCCCGTCTACACTATTATATATAATATATTTTTTAACTATTGTTCCAGGTGTCCATGGGCGACGCCGATTGCTTACCATCAGGTGATCCGTTTGCTCGATTACCGGCTTATGCCATAAAAAAAAACTTATTCACTCATACACACACACACACTCACTCATCGCCACGATTGAGGTGGTGCAGCCAGTCTTAGACCTTCTTCAGGAGCAAGGAACTGTTCCCAATACTTACATGTGGAAGAGGTACTCACAGACACGTTTGCTTCAAAAAGATTCTGTGACGTATGCATAGGCATGTCATGGTGGCCCAGAAGCTTAAGACGCCCGCTTCTCATATATCAGGGTCGAAAATACAAGTCCAGCTTTCCGCACGATGTTTTCCTTCACCGTACGCCAGTGATGTCCTAATACCCTAACGTGATCTCCGGCCACCGTAAGCGCGGGCCTGTGGACGGCGAGCATGGGTGGCTCCCCGTCCGACCAGAAACAGACCCGAGCGTACGGCGCGTCGCGTTCCGCGCGCGCCTCATAGAGCCATCAGACCACCACAGATGGGGCCCAACAGGGCCGATGCCGATTCGGAGTCGCGGAGAACCTAACGGGTAACCGGTGCTCCGGCTCGACGTGCAGGAGAAGGAACGGGGTAGTTTTTAGTCAGTAAAAGCCTGACACTCCCTCCCGTCTCACCCAGGCGGGAGCAGTCATTCGATGACATTCCCCCTTAAAAAAAAATACCCTAGCGTACGGCGGGTCGAGTTCCGCGCGCGCCTTAAACTGTCAAACACCAAGCGGTCACCGGTGACCGCAACCTATTGTTCTATAATTGTGTCTACAAAACCGGTACTCGACGAGTTAAAGCGCCATCAGACAGCGGACGGGGCCCAATAGGGCTGATACCGATTCGGCTCGAAGTGCAGTAGGAATAACGGGGTGGTGTTTACTCAGTAAGAGTCTGACACTCCCTCTCGCCTCACCCAGGCGGGAGAAGTCATTCGATGATTTTCCCCCCTTAAAAAAAGTCATGTCTAAATAATCTTAGAAAGTAGGTACAGAAAAAGTCACATTAGTTTGAGCCGAGTTTCGAACCCGCAGCTTTTAGCATGGGAATCGGACGCCTTAGCTTCCGGGCTACCACGACATTACATTGTGAAACGATTGAATACTAAAACAAAATTGAATATTTTATAGTTTCTCTATAAAATTATTGTAATTTTCTTTTGTAGCTATTGCATACCTACATTACATTGTTTCTATCTGGACTGGATAGTACCTAAGTGTTACTCAAAAATGGCGTCAAAATATACTCTTGTAAGTATTTATTTAAAATCTACTTATTTAAAGGGCAAGGGGTCTCGGGTTCGATTCCGGGTCGGGCAAAATATCACTGGGTTTTTAAAAAAATCTCAGTAGTAGCACGTAGCCTGGAATTGTGCTCGGTATATGGCAATAGGTTCAACCCTATTACATGGGACTCATAACATATATATAGTGAAAAGTGAGTGTTACATTGTACAGTGGCATAATGTGCACCTCTGCCTACCCCTTCGGGGATAAAAGGCGTGATGTTATGTTATGTTGTTATATGTAAATAAATACAAACTATCAATGAAACTATAATAAAACATTTTTTTGTTGCTCGTTCTTCTCTATTTGAAACTATACTACCGAAGAAGCGCCTATCTTCACTGACAGACAGACGGACGGACAATTCAATCCTTACTATAATATTATAAATCGGAAAGTGAGTTTGTTTGTTTGTTCCGCTTTCACGACGCGGCGACGTAACTACTAAACCGATTGCTTTGAATTTTTGCAGACGTAAAGTTAGAAGTCTGGATTAAATAACAGGGTACTTTTTATCCCGGAAAAATTTGTTATTCCCGAGGGAAAACAAAAGTATTGGTATAGATGGCGCTGTGTGTATTGGTATATGTCACATAGGCTACTTTTTATCCTTTTGTGACGCGAGCGAAGCCGCGGATAAATAAAAAGAGGCTAGTATTTAATAAAAAGAGGCTAGTATTTAATAAAAAGAGGAAGTACTATGTTCGAATGATTGATTCATTGGACCCGGACCAAAGTGGGTGATTCAGTCCAAGTCAATATTAGTTCCAGCTGTCACTTCGTCTAAATCTTTTTTACCAAGCTTCGCCTGTCTCATTTTTATATTAATATTACAGGTTGTCTTATTGTCAATTTTTATACTAGAAATATTCGCGCAGTTATATGAAGACGTACTAAAACGTTACAACGAATATTGTGTTCGAAAACGGCATGAATGTAATCCAAAAGTAGAAGACTTCGCGGTGTGTAAATACGGCGTGAGTATAACGATCATAGCGCCCTCTGTAAAGGTTCATCATTTATAAGGAACCAAAGTTATGGACCGGTCACACAGTAGTTGTCGGAGAAACAATGACACATCAGTCGCAACGCCATCTATTAATTGATTCCTGAACTCGCCTCCAATGAGTGCCGTCACAATATAAAAATGATTGATAAAATCAACATGATTGATTTCATTGACGCACGACATTTTGTTTTAAGCGTTTGTCATCCTCCTTCTTTTACTCTAGACTCTCATTGGAACAGATGCCTAGTTCCACGAGAAATATATCTCACTGTAAAATTAACAATCATCGTTATCATCATCATCATCATCATTAACAGCCGAAAGACGTCCACTCCTGGACAAAGGCGTCCCCCTTGGTCTCCACGTCGAACGACAACTCGCCACCCGCATCCACTGGCTTCCCGCAACTCTGGCGATGTTGTCTGTCCACGTAGCGGGAAGCCAGCCCAGACCAGTACGTTTAACCAGTGTGTGTTGCCGGTGATGACGTATGGTACTGCAACGCGATCCCTGACCTCTGGCCTTCTGGAAAAGCTTAAAGTCGCTCATCGCGCGACGGAGAGATCTATGCTTGGGGTTTCTTTGCGCGACAATTAACTTTAGCAAATTACAATTTACAGAAAACTGAATATGGAGAAGACTGTAAAAATAAAAATGCTAAAAATATAGAGTTTACGCAAGAGCAAGTAACAAAATTTTTGCAGACGATAAACCAGTAGGTGATATGATAATAAATATCTAGTTATAAGTTAAACTATTCATTCATTAATAACCTTACGTCTGTCTCTCATCATGAATGCTTAAATACCTTTCTTTCTCTTTTGCTTCCTCGACAGTCATCAGTCTTTTTACGCATGCTCGTCGGTTAAGGGTACTTTTAATTTAGCCCTTCTTTATTATACCGTCAATCTGGTATGATATGTGCCTGTCTAGGCCGCCCGTTATCCACGCGACGGTCTCTTTCGGAGAAAGGTCCCACTAGCACGGAAAAGGTTTGAGCATTAATCATCACGCTTTCTCAAAGTGGGTTGGCGATTTTAAACTGTCAAACACCAAGCGGTCACCGGTGACCGCAACCTATTGTTCTATAATTGTGTCTACAAAACCGGTACTCGACGAGGTAAAACAGTTTTCCTTACGATATCTTCCTTCATTGTTTGTCAGTGGTATCTACATAATCTTAGAAAGTAACTCAGAAAAGTCACATTGGTACTTGTCGTTGGTAGGCTTCGAGCTCTCACCCTCATGCATGAGAAGTGGACGTCTTAAATCTCCGGGCCACCACGACGTTCAGTCGACAGTGTGTGTGACGACAATTATGAATGAACTAATATTTTGTGTCAGTTACAGAACTCAGCTGGCCAATGGTATCTTAAAATTCTCCACTGGGAAATTTTATCCAAAAGGATACGGAATATTTCGAGTGGTACGCGTTATTTTTCATAATTATTTATTAAATTAATTAAAAATAACTGTTTACCCATTCAAATATACTAAGGAAAGCTCTACTAGTTTCGAGTCATACAGGGACTCGTCGTCATGAGCAGCATGCGCGGACGCGGTGACATCGCGCAGCCTACTATTTATTTATAGTCGGACTCATTTAATTATGTCAATGACCGATCTCATTCGAAAATGGCATTTAATTAGTTCTATAGAGTTCCTGAAGAGAAAAAATATCGATTTAGAGATTTTGGTTTAAATAAAATCGCTTATAGTAGTACCTACACAGAACGGCTATACGGTAGCTGGTCGACATAACTGCGGCAGTAGGCAGTCGCCCATCTGATCTGCTGTACTGAGTTTTGCTGAGTTCCAAAACAACAATATCTCAGTTTCGTGCAGTTAGACTAGTGAATACCACGGCTGCAGCCGCTCGTTGTACTACTGACCACAATGTTGTAACTTCTCACTTATATTCCAGCACTGGGACAGCGAGTCTGCGGGCTTGGCACAGTACATTAGCTCTCGGTGTCATGTCCCCACAAAATTTTTGTGTATTAGTTTAAGTAAGTACCCTTGTAATGATACTCGATACGTTTGTAATACAGTAAGTGTGGGAGAAACTTGTTTC